CTCCCAGAATTGTCTGTGAAGTCTTAATAGAACAATCTTTGCGCATAAATCTCTAAGAAAATTTCTCTAGGAAATCACCACACTCAATATTGGATTGGTTGTTACAGGAAAGAATCGCACAGAATTACTTGGAGAGAATTTCTTGCTGAGAGATGTCTCTGGAGAGAATTTCTATGGGAAGTCTGAGAGAATTTCCTCTACATCGATTTTCGTGATCGCTATTGGGGAGATCTTAGAATTATGAAATGATTGATGGTCGCTTTTATGCTATAAATTTAATACAATGACCCTAAAAAAATCCCTGATTGGTATCGCTCCATTCACCACAAATATACTCTTTTTTTACTTGGTTGGTTGTTTTTGTTTAGCCAAAAATATGAGAGGGACAATTATCGCAAGACAAGTTGAGGAACAATTAGCTTTATAATAACTTTAGTGCTCTTTAGTGAGCTATTGTAAATTAAAAACTAATAATCAAAAACTGAACCAAAACCAACATTAACTCAACTTTCAGAAGATCAATTTTTTTTAACTTGTTTAAATTATTTTTGCCTAATAAGTTACAAGTAAAAACTGTACCAAACAGCGTACCATATATTTCAAGAAAAAAAAAAAGAAAGAAGAACAAGCAGCTCAAATTAGTCTTCTAATTATGATCATGAGGGCTCTTATCTTTTAGGATCATATTTGTTTGAATATTAATATTCAAGAATTTTAAGTTCGAGATTATCAATCATTTTGAATACATATCATATAACTTATGTGTGAATGGAAATTAACAAAATTGATCAATCTTGTAAGTTGACCAATTATCTACAATTAATCTAAGATTTTAAAAAGCGGCTATAACCATTACGTAATGGTTGTGGTAGTTATCACCACCTGTTATGGTTGCTATAGCGGTGCGACAAAAATTCACAACTATAACGGCCGCAATCATTACACAAAGGCTATAATGGTCATTACATTGTTGCTATAGCACCGTTACAACCGCTACGCTTCTATTTTATAAATTTTGCATATAATGCTTATTTCTCTTTTTATTTTCTAATTACATAGAACTGAAGTAAAAATATTATCTATATATGTTTTGAATGTTTATTTTACTCTAGTTGAGTTTGAACTTGAGTTTGAAATGACAAATGAAACTTAAATTAATATGCACATTAAAAAAATGAAATAAACTAAAAAATAAGAAGAAGAAGAAGAAGAAGAAGAAGAAGAAGAAGAAGAAGAAGAAGAAGAAGAAGAAGAAGAAGAAGATTACAAACAAAATATAAAATATTGCTCATATGATTAATAAAATTCATCAATCAAATATATAAAAAGAGAAAACACCAAACATAAAATAGAAAAATAAAATAAATTAATAAACATATATTTTCTATATTATTAAAATAAATATTAATTAATGTATAATTATGTTCACGAGTCTATTCAAATCAAGTTTGGATCAATTTGATTATTAAACAAATTTAAAAATATGGTGAGTGGAGTCCAAAAAAATAACAAAATAAGAGCAATCCATGCTTACCCTGTCACTCGATATAACAAGCCTCACAAATCATCCTGTCGTACAGTGGCCTAACGTTGTATGGCGTTTCTAAAATGCTCCCAAATGGTCTTTTATTTGCTGGTTGGCCATCCTTGGTAGACTCTCCACCCTCGACAGAGTTAAGAAGTAGGGACTCACTCAAAATATGGCTTTTCTGCTTTGCAATTCTGCTAATGAAAATCATGATCATATATTTTTTCAATGTAGACATGCAAGCAGCCTTTGGAGGGGTGTCTTAAGCTTGAGTGGTGAGTCATCTGAATATGGAGGTCTCATTTGAAAACATACTATTTTAATAAATTTTTAACTTTTTACAAAAAGATATACAGAAAAGTAAAGAGAGTAATATAACAACTTATAGTGACTCTTTAACTTTTTGACTAAAATACTTAGTTCCCAAACATAACCAAATATGCATCAAATGGTTTCCTGAGAAGTGCATAATAGGCAGGGCAAGAAATTTAAACACAAATTGTTCAAGCTTTCTTTTTGCGTTCCGATTGCTCCAAACCAAAGCAAAGCCTGTACTTGTTCTTCTTTGCAACCTGGTAGAGGACATTAGATGAAGAGTTGCTTCTTGGAATAACATTGAGAATAATCAGACCTCTAGGACTATAATTTGTGCTTGGGGTTTCTCCCTATAATCTTTCATCGATATATTTCTTTCTGATGTAATTGTTAGCTTAGGGAATGCCCCGACAAATTCTCACATTTCACCCAACAAAAAAAAAAAGAAGCCCCACAAGTTTATTAAGCAAACGTTTTTGAAGACACAATCATCTTTATTACAAAGTAGTGAAATACAATAATTTCATTCAAGGATGCAGTAAGACTGGCAAATTTTCCAAACAGAAGCCAAACATAATAATAGACAACCACCATGTGCCCAACCATGTAGAAGCATATTATTTCTGAATCGATATTATGCAGAAACTCCAACCATCGGTGGTGGCCAAGTATGACTTGATTTTGACAACTACGATCAGAAGCAGTTAACATCAATGAATCCAGTCTCTGCATAATCTATGAATCTGTAAGCCGTTCCATCACCAATTTGAGAACAGAGGGAGCATCAACAGTCACAGCCACCTTGACTGAGGGTTTGTCCGACCACTCAGTAACTTCAACAAATCTGGTTTTATCATGAGAAGGCAAAAAGATCGAGTCTTTAATAACAAGGTGAAAGAGAGAATGTATATGTAACCAACTATATGCATCACTAGAATAACTGAATAAGGAAACAATCAGAAATTTACAAACTCGGCATCAGAAATTCACAAAAAGCTGAATTTCTTACATATTGCAGTTTCCCTAACTGCCCCTTTTACTCATCCTCTATATCACATTGTAGATAATCTCTGTACTTCCTACATCTTCTTAATAGCCTTTCATCAAACAAACAGAGTTGTCAAAGGTTTTCTGCCAAATGCATACAATGAAAATGCCTATAACAACTAATGTTATGTTTGGATCACTGGAATGATTAGAAGGGAATGATCATCCCATCATAATGTCATTTCTCATGTGTGGTTCACTAAAAACATTATGACAAATGCACTGCAAATAGAATCATCATTCACCATTTAAGGGAATGGTCATTCCACATTCCACCTTCATTTTAGTGAACCAAAAACTAACTATCAATAATAATATCTTTAACTTAGCTGTTTGATTTTACACGACTTGTCCATATATACTCACTCAAATGCACCATATTCAAATGTCTAAAACAACTAAAATCACTAAAATGGATGTATTAGCAATGATATTATCTTTAAAGATTTTACATTAATTTTCACATACACCACCACTCTAACTTGATGAATGCACACATATATATATAAATTTACAGAAATCTCTATTGTTTTTTCCCTTACCCTGGGAAATTATTCAATACTCCCGGAGCACCACGTGTCCATACTCCAGACCAATCACCAATTAGTTAGCCCCATGTTGTCCCCCCATCTCCAACATAAATCGTGGGCCCTTGTGTCTCTCCACCAATCAAAACATTATGGAGCACCACGTGTCCATACTCCGGGAGTACTGAATAATCACCCCCTTACCCTTTAAAATATCTGTTATCCTTATTTGACCCTTAGTTGCACATGTGAGAATATTATGTAAATTACGAAAATATATCAATTAAGTTATTTGTGAATATTCGATTGATGGTAGATTGATTTTATAGGGTTATTTCCTATTATAAATTAGGTTTCGGATTGCTATAAATATTGGTTGTAATCTTTGTATTATGTACATTTGAATAGATAGAAAACTTACATGGTATCAGAGCCACGTCCAAAACCCTAAGTCTGGCCTTGATCATTTGAAGCTCGAAGTCTTCTCTAGGCTTCTCCAAAGTTGCAAAAGCTGTTCTTTGGTCTTCTTCAAAGTCACAACAGTCCTCTGTGCCTGGTCTGAAGTCGTGATTCAAGGCTCTCTCGTCTCTCTCTCTCTGGGGTTCGTGGGTCGTCTGGGTTGTCCGATCGACAGTCCTCTCTCCCCCTTGGTTCGTCTGTTGCTGCCGCTCTCTCTCTCTCTCTCTCTCTCTCTCTCTCTCTCTCTGTGTTCCGAAGTGTTCCTTGACCCTATATCAGCACTGTTATTTGATTATAAAAAAATAAAAATAAACACTTATTTATAGTTTGACCCCTCAGTTTTCTGGTTATTAGACTTGAACTTTTGGTTTGGCTATTTTGCTCTATTTTGGGTTAAAACACTTGAACCCCTCAGTTTTTTGGTTATTATTATGATGTCTCTGGCTTCAGATGAGTGTGCCTTCTGCCATCAGAGAGACCATTGGAAGTATCACTGTCCCAAGAAGGGACGCCTGTCTAGCTCGTCTTCTCAACAGTCTCGGACTCAGTTTTGCTCTTCTTCTCCGAGTAATTTTCAGGCTCCTGCCAGTTCTAAAGTATCTGCTCTAGCTCCAGCTCCTGATCTGGCTTCTGTGCGTGCTCGGATTAGTCAGCTTCAGCATACATTGTCTACCTTCCAACCATCCCCGTCTACCTCCATTGTTTCATCTCTTCATTTAGGTTTGCTTGGATCTTCTTCAAGTATTTCTTCGTCTGTCTAGATTTTTGACTCGGGTGTCTCTCATCATATGACTTCCCATCTCTACCTTACTTTCAGCTTCCTCCTCTCACCGCCTCAATTTCCAAAGAGGATTTGGTTCATATTGACCCATTTCATTCTGAGGTCCCGTCTGATGAGTATATCTCCACAGTTCCTCCTGAACTTGTCCCATCTTCTCCTCCTCCTTCACCTCTGGCTGCTTCTCCTCATTCGATTTCTTCTCCTCCTCCATTGTTAGTTTATTATCGTCGCCAAGCTCCTCATCCACCGGTTGTCTCTGCCCCTGCTGCTAATCCTCTTACATCTGCACACTGATATCCTACTTAAGCGCGTCATCCTCCAAACAAGTTGGGTTGGTCTAATACATATTTTTCTGCTTCCTATCGTACTTTTTTACCTGCTATTCACTCTTTTTCAGAACCTTAGTCTAATAAGGAGGCCTGTCAAAATCCTCATTGGGTTCAAGCTATGGAGGATGAGTTGTCTGCTTTACAAAAAACTAGTACTTGGGAGTTGGTTGCTTGGCCTGCTAGTAGGAATTTGGTTGGTTGCAAATGGGTCTACAAAATCAAGACTCATTTTAATGGTTCTCTTGAGCGCTACAAAGTTCGTCTGGTTGCCAAAGGTTTCTCACAAGAGTATGGTATTGATTATGAGTAGACCCTTGCTTCTGTTGCCAAAATGACTACTGTCTGTACTTTGATCTCTGTCGCTGCTGTTCGTTCTTGGCCTCTTTATCAAATGGACGTTAAGAATGCTTTTCTTAATGGCCATCTCACTGAGGAGGTTTACATGCGTCCTCTTCCTGGCCTTCGCCATTCTTCTGGATAGGTTTGTCACCTTCAGCGTACTCTGTATGATCTGAAACAGTCTTCCCGTGCTTGGTATGATCGCTTTCAGATTGCTGTTACTGAGCTTGGGTTTCATCCTTGTGCCCAGTACTCTACTTTATTTCTTCTCCACACCTTTGCTGGATTTGTTGCATTATTACTGTATGTGGATGATATGATCATCACTGGTTCTAACTCTTCTGCTATATTTGAGGTCAAGCAGCATCTGTTCCGCACCTTTGAAATGAAGGATCTGGGCCCATTGCGGTATTTTTTTGGTATTGAGGTAGCTTCTTCTCCCAAGGGTTACTTTCTCTCTCAGGCCAAGTATGCCAATGAGGTTATTTATCGTGCCGGTCTTACTGACACTAAGATTTCTGATACCCCCATTGAGCTTAATGTAAAGCTCACCACTACTGATGGTGTTCTTCTGGATGATCTTACTTTATATCGAGAGCTCGTGGGTTACTTAGTTTATCTGACGGTTACTCGCCCTGATCTTGCATATGCTGTTCATGTGGTTAGTTAGTTTGTTTCTGCTCCTCGTTCTACACATTGGGCTGCTTTGGTTCAAATTCTTCGCTATCTCCGAGATACTATATTTCAGGGTTTACTGTTGTCTTCTACTTCCTCTTTAGACTTTGTCACTTACGCTGATTCTGATAGGATTGGTGATGTCACTGATCGCAAGTCTACTTCTGCCTTCTGCATGTTTCTTAGTGATTCCTTGATTTCTTGGAAGAGCAAGAAATAGACTGTTGTTGCACATTCCACTACTGAGACTAAGTACCGTGCTATGGCTCATGCCACTGCTGAGATTGTTTGGCTTCGTTGTCTCTTGACTGATTTAGGTGTCCGTCAGTCTTCTCCGACCTCCCTTTACTGTGACAACCGCAATGTTATTCAAATTGCCCATAACACTCTCTTTCATGAGCGGACGAAGCACATTGAGATTGATTGTCATTTTGTACGTCAGCATCTGCAGTCTGGTTCCATCTCGCTTCTTTTTGTCTCTCTGGCTTTGAAACTTGCTGATTTATTTACGAAGACTCACACCACTGCTCGATTTCAATTTCTTCTTGGCAAACTCTCATTGTTTTCTGCTAAAACACCTTGCGCTTGAGCGAGGGTGTAAGAATATTATGTAAATTATGAAAATATATCAATTAGGTTATTTGTGAATATTCGATTGATTGTCGATTGATTGTATATTCGATTGATTGTAGATTGATTGTATAGGGTTATTTCCTATTATAGATTAGGTTTCGGATTGCTATAAATATTGGTTGTAATCTTTGTATTACTTACATTCGAATAGACAGAAAAGCTTTCAGAAAACTTACAACACAAAGTAGGATTGGAGATGGAAGTGGAAGTGGAAGCAGAAGCAAAAGCAGAAGCAGGAGTCAAGGCAGGGTAGTGAGGGCATAGAAAATTTTTAAGTTTGAGAGCACCTATGGGAGCTTGTAAATATTTTATAGGTTAAACATATAAATATATTCTAAATTTTTTTTTTTCTGCTTAGTTGTAATATATATGTTAAATATGAATAAATATTAGTCATTTATCTCAATTACAAATTGACTTTATTAAGTATAAATTAATAACATACAAATAAAAATTGCTACAATGAGTTTAAGTTATTTTTCTTTTATTTCCGTGATATTTGTATCTTTGAGAGGGTTCTATCTCTTTGGAGTGAGTATCTTACTCGAAGGGAGCGTGGAATCATGTTTCTAACTAAGGAACGCCACCCAAGTAGGAAATTCCTGCAACTAAGATTTGACCCCAATAAATCATTAGGACCAATTAATTCATGTTCCATTTAAGGGGCCCAAGCAAGCTAAGTCCACATTTGTTAAGGCTGGCACCATATTATTGTAAGGCTTAATAAAAATCAAGAGAAAATCACTTCTATTTTCATTTCCAAAAAGAAATATAAGATTCTATTTGTTTTCATTGTATAAATTTGTTTCATATGTTATTTCCAAAGCCAATATGTTTCCAGTCAATTCTCTATTTTTCTCTTTAACATTTATTTGGGTAAATCTTTCAGGATTTCAAGAAAACCATCTTATTTTTGTTGGCTTTTAATATTATTATGGAAGTTAGGGGTGGGAATTTTTGACATAGACACGATAACACGACTCAAACCGTACACACAAATTAGCGGTTAGAGTTGACCTTTCCTAAACGAACATGTAATATACAAGCGACCTGAAACGGAAATCTTAACACAAGTCGGGTTAAGTGTCAAATCTTATAAATGAAACTAACAACACGTGAGTATAACCCGTATCTCTCCTTCTTTT